ACCCATGCATACTTATATAGAATTTTATGTTTGTCTTAGCCCCAGAAACAAGTCCACAAAATATGTCCAGACAATTTGGAAACACCCTGTATATTTATATACACTATTATATTTGATAAACTATTGTGTATGCTAGTATTATTTGGTTTTTAATATATATTGTATCAGCAAAAAAGTTCGATTTGTATGTAAAATTAAGTCCTACTTTTCAGTAAAAAGTCCTACTTTTTGCTGAAAAAGTCCTACTTTTCCTACTTTTTTGAGGTCAAAAACCACTTGGGGGCCTGTTATTTCCACTGAGTGATAGTTTATCAATGTTCCGAGCAACCAGCCAAATATAAAATATATAGAGAGTTTGCTTTTTGCCATCACAGACATCGGTTTTGCTGACTAAAAGTTGACGGCAAAAAGTTTACAACCAAATAAATTTTAGATTTACTCTAAACAAATTTGAGCAACTAGTGGAAGTTTTTTGGTAGGGCGTGGCGGGCCGGCGTGGTGCTACGCCCAACGTCACGTCTGGGATGCGTGAAGGGGAAACACTTCTCCACTATTCTTCTACAAGTTGCTTGCGCAAAGCGCGTAGTCATCCACTTTTTGTTATCAACTTTCTCTGATCTTTACTGATACCCCGCAGGAAACTAAAATTAAGAAGGAGACTTTGGTTTAAACGTGGCCTAAGACAAAGGATTTTTTGTGATGGAAGCTGATATTCCGTGGTCTGAACTACAATCTTTATAGAAACATTTACTGAAATTATTAACCTAAATGAGAATCGCTTGTACTACTTAGCACCAGGTTATTTTTTTCTTTGTAACATCAATTAAGTATTTTGAGTCCCATAAAATAACAATAACTAGGTGGTTTCAAACATTTGAATTCACAGCTTTAAAGCTCTAAGGCTTGCTGAAATATCAAGAATATTAAACATTAAAATCCATTTGATCTGACATAAACAAAACAATCCTTAAAATTGTCTTCAGCTGATGCTAAGGGACAATAGAAAGAGAGTACTTTTGTTTAATCTACACTATGGCTTAAATTTACTTGTTCTTTGTGATGCTCATGTGTATAAAGGAGATCGTAAACGACACAGAGAAGTAAGATACGAGGATGTTAACATTCAATGGTGCACTTAAGTAGTGTCTAGCACTAGTCGCTGGTGTCTAGAGCAAATTCTATTTGTCATCCTCCCGCTCTATCCTTTCCCCCTTCACGCTCACGCTGTAGGAAGACCCTGTACGCTACAACTGCTGTAAGAAAATGCTATGTGGCCATCACAGAGCTAAAAGCACATGGTTGTTCTATAATCTTGTATCCTCTGTATCCTTTTTCTCTGTGTTAACGATCAACTGTTTCTTTTTAATAATCTTTGCTTAACGTTAACCATTTAATATAGATAGAATTTAACTTATATCGATCAATGTTCCAGCTCAGGGTACTCGTCAGCAATCTCATCGGCTACGTTTGGACTGTTTTTCTCGCCCATAAGAAGAGGAAAGCAGATTCAAGACGCAACAGATTAGACTAGTTTTTTTTACCAATACTCTCAGTATTTAGGATTAGGGGACATATTTTAAGGATATTTTTTATATGGGCTTGTTGTACATTTACTATGATGTGTAAATATCATTGTCTTTATCAGTATATTTATATTGTTATTAAAATATTGTTGATAATAAAATGTTGATGATAAAAGATTAAGTTAATATTTTCTTGCCCTTTAGATTTTAAGGAAAAAGTTTTAATGCATTGCTGAGTGCTGCTGCTTTAGTTCTTAAAGCTATGAAATTATTATAAACATAATGTTCTGCTAAGGAAGCATTGCATCCATGTTTTTTTCTGAGTGCCACTAGCAGCGTGATAAATTGTAAGATTCACACCTGTACTATGAAATATCATTTACGAGTTTGTGCAAAATGTTACGGAGTATGCTTTATGTTCATAGTATAAACATAAACCTATTCCGTAACCTCTGCCTCTAGTAAACAGTTTTTTTATATTCAGTTTCAAGCAATTTTATGTAGTCAAAGTTGCAAGCAAAGTATTGTTTTTGGATTCTTTTACTAAGTTTTGTGCTAAAACTCTTTTTCTATGAAGAAGGGCAGATTGAATAGGACAGCAGATGGTAGGTATTATTTTTCCATTAAGAAAGAGTCCTTGGACCCATTCTATTAAGCATAAGACATAAGACATTTATTCGTCAATTTTACATGTATAATGCATAGACAAGTCTATTATTGTTAAGTAAATACATCTTGTATTCAGTCTTAGGTAAATAAATATATAAAGGAATTAAGTTAATACAGGCAATAAAAATACAAGAGTTAAAATTTGAGTCATTCTACTTCAAAACAAAGTTTCTACAAAACTACAAAGATGATTTCTAATCTCATATATATAATGCCCTAGATGAAATACAATCACTTTGATATGCATTCAAAATAATATATATATTTCATAACAAAAGTAGAAAGTGAGTGAGTCATCAGTAAATATTTGAGACTATGTTTGAAGTGCATTGAGCTAAAAAGAATAAAATTAGTAATTGAGTACACAATGCATGATAGAATGAACGTTGGTGTCCACGTCCATATTGTATCTGACAGTATTCCAAGCTGACTGAGAGAGAACTGCAACTGAGATCACTATCACTGTAATCATTTATTAATAGAGTATACTTTTTTTGTCCCATGACGCTAGGCACGAGCCCTTTGTAATAGACCGACGATGCCGGTTCGCGAACTAGTTCGAATAAATACAGGTTTACACACATTTATTTAAAATTTGACAATTTTTTCGAGTTATTAATGGTCCTCATGTTACGTAACACATTTTCGTCATTTTTAACATCTACCTCCCCCCGGTGAGGCTTCATAACGTAAGCATATTCCCCCCTTACCCCCTCCATATAACGTAAGCCTATCAGATATTTTCTTAAACAATGTTTTGTTATTCTATATGCAACTTTCTCCGGCTGAAGTCAATTATTAATTGTTTAACATTGTGCTTTAAACTAGAGTAACCTGTAAAAAATATCTTACTGTTTATTTGAACACAATATTTTTTACAAATTATACAATTCAATGTTTACTAAAATGATTTCCATAAAAATAACTATTATTCCCCTTTAAATAGCATATGAGTGAAAATTTAAAAACGTACGTTTTCATGTCCCTGGCCTTTTACTTCGTAGATACTGGATTTGTAGTTTATTATTATGTGTTTTAATATTTTTTGGGACGGGGGCAACATGTTACACACATTTATTTGGTTTTAAATATGTTCTAGGTATTTTTTTCGTATTTTTAAAGTCTCGAAATTCACGACCATGACGTGTCCCTAGGGTACATTTTCCAACTTTCACGCTGTTTTTAGACTAATTATTCATGCCAAAATATATAAAGCCATATTTTTATGTCATCAATGGTTATTAAACTTACAAAAAAGGAGCATATTATAATTTTATTGTCATTAAAAACTGACTACCATGACAAAATAAGTCTGTCCCTCGATTTGGCGTCACGACCATTTGGGAAAAATTTTCAACTTTGGAGCACGACAGTGGCAAGCCTGGCGTCAATGGAGTCAGTTGGTTTTAGAGACTAGTTCGGGGTGTACGTCAGGATTGTAGTGCCGGTCGTTTCGAGTTGAAAGGAGGAATTACAAGATTAATAAAGGAAAGATTGTGTTTTTTGTAATTTTGGTGTGTCCATGACCGTACGTAGTCATTCGATGAAGTAGACATAGTGTTAATTTTTGTTTATAAGATATTTCAATTGCTAGATTAACCTAAAAGTCCACTTTGTATCCTCGAACATGAGGTGCAGGGCTACCGCCAGAACAGAGCCAAATAACACGTAATATCACGACCAAAGTGTCACGACCATCGTGGGTTTTTTCACGACCAATCCAGCCTTATGGATTATAATGTGTTTGGTCGTGACAATAACTTTAATATAATTGTAAATTGAACAGTTTAGTTCAATTGAAACACATATTTTTATTATAACTAACAGGATAATTGAAGGATTGTTTAGAAAGATTTAGATTTTTCCAGACAATTCACGACCGTACCGCTTGTCCCTGACCATCACGTTTATGATTTCTATCATAAAAATTAAAAAAATTAAAATATCATCATATTTTAATGTTTTATACACAAAAGAAGCACACCTCTATACAAACATAACGATTTTTCGGGTCTCAGGTAAGTTTTTTCGGAGTTATACAAACTTAAAAAGATTTTATTGGCTTTTTTTCAATTTTTTGAGTTTTATTATTTTTTTCTAGAAAGACCAAATAAACCAAAAGCTCAGTGACCTTTTTATTGTATAATGGTCATAAAAGTAAATTAGTTTATAGCAAAACATAGCTTTAAAAATAATATTAACTATTTTTAATATTCATTTAAACGTCCGTTATGGTCGTGACAGGATTTTGTTTTTTCCTCTAAAGATGCTCTTTTAAAAAGAAACTACCAAAGATATTACGTTACCATGGACATTTTATGAAACTTCAAATGTTAATGAAATAAAAAAAATAATAAAAGTTTTGAAAAAAGGGGGAAAAAATTTGCAAAGTGCTTTTCCTGAAAACGTACGTTTTTAAATTTTCACTCACATTTAACGAGTGCTTATAGGTTTTATGCTAAGGGGAAGGTAACAAGTAATTTTTGACTTAACGTTAATAAATTTGCCGTGAAGTGTGGACGGCCCCTTATCGCACATACTTTATGTACGTTTTTTTATTTTGCCATTTAAATTCAGTTGAATGGATGGTGCCTTCACTATAAATTGTACTAAATACAACATTTTATTTTGCTTTATAATAATTAATAAATTCAACTAAATACTAAAAAGAGCCCCAATATTCAAATCAAAGCTTTTACAAAGTAACAAATCCACGTACTAAAATTATATATATTATGCTTAATAATTTCATTTTGTTACACATTCATATTTAGTGTAAAGATAGACTGGCTTTCATTTCTCCACTGCATTTTGTAACTTCTTACTCATTCCTGTTACGACTGCTGTTGCTGTAGTTCATTTCATCGAAAAAAGCCTCTTCCTCCTCTAGGATTTGTCTACCGTAAGGAGGTGAGTGTCAACATTTCTTTATCTCTTGGAATCCGATTTTAAATTCAATTTTTATTAAATATTTTATTGTCTAACAATTGTAGAGACCATTAAATTAATTATTGCTTCTTTTATTTTCAGGCAAAATGGGGAGACGCCCTGCTAGATGGTAAGAATCCTAACCTCTCTAGTCATAGTGCTTGTTTATTAGAAAGACATTAGGCTACAGACTAGTTCTAGGCGAAACTATTTTATGCACTTTAATTACTTTTAGCTGTTTCGTTTAGACCTAAATTGCTGATGTTTTTGCTCATAGTTGGCAAATCCATAACAGGGCTACAGATTTAAATAATGCCAACTAGGCCTTGGAGTTTATTCTTGATTGAATTTCTTAACATTGTTAAATTAATTTTCCTACTTAGGCCTAGACTAAATTGATCCATTCCATGTTAGTTTACACGTTGAGGAATAGATTCTAGGTATGAGAATAATGTAATAAATGTTGTGACTAGGCCGCTTAGCTCTGTTTGACTGTATAATAATCTAGGCCTAGCCCATTGCACAATAAGTATTTTGAGGATGATCTTGGTCAAAAAATACTAGGCACAGTTGATTTTTCTTAACCAAAAGCTTGATTATAAATGAATTAATTTTAACCAATGAAAGTCAAGGCATAGGAAGTTTTTAGCTGATTCACTTTGTAACCAGCCCGTTTTAAGGTCTTAATGTTGGTCCATTTATTGCTCAATCGCATCCTTCTAGCAGTGTTCTCAGCAGTCATTTGCCTTGTGATGGCTGCCTAAGTTGGGTAGTAGTGTGTTTCTTTTAGAGATGTGTCGTTCGGTCATGACCCGTTCGATTTGAACGTATCAGTCAGGTGAACGAGTGATCCGGGTCACACTTATTCAAAAGACCCGTTTAATTCTGATTTCGTTCACCCCAACCAACTGACTGTTTTAATTTTTATAACGAAACTCTATTATAAGAAAAGTCGTGTATCTTAATATATTTACTCATAAAAAAAATAAAAACATTATTTATTGAGTTTAAAATATCAATATGGACTTAATTTAACCTAGAAAATAATACAGGATAGAAAATATGTTCTGTGTTGACTACGTAGTTTACTTTGGTTTCGTTCGGTCTCGGTCTTTTCGTTCATTTCGTTCGCCAAGATCCGATGACCGAAGAAGTCCGATTGATTCACGTAGTTTACTTTGGTTTTGTTCGGTCTCGGTCTTTTCGTTCATTTCGTCGCCAAGATCCGATGACCGAAGAAGTCCGATTGATTCACGTAGTTTACTTTGGTTTCGTTCGGTCTTGGGTCTCGGTCTTTTCGTTCATTTCGTTCGCCAAGATCCGATGACCGAAGAAGTCCGATTGCGTTCGGAATGGCAACTAAAGACACGGAACGGACCGAACTAACTAATGTGAATTAATGGAACAAGAAGTGGACGATTGGCACTTTCAAGCCTAGGCTCGAACCAATAATATAGTAGCCTAATATGTGGCCTGAAGTAGGCATTTACAATCAAAAACTAAACATCGCTATAAGGATGAATTATTATTTATTACTCTATTCGTTTACTGATGTCAAGGTCCTAGTCCGGTTTCGTTCATTTCGTTCACCGATGTCCGATTCCGATACAAACTCTGGCGGGACGTTATGTCATGAAAGCTGGCTGACTGACAGTCGACAGACCGGTTCAATTGAACGGGTCGCGACAGTGAACGAGACCGGTTGACCCGGATCAGTAAAGTGATCCGAACGTCCCATCTCTAGTTTCTTTATGTCCCTGCTAGTTGGTTTGGAACGCATGTAAAACTTTCGTGTCAATACCCTTTGTGTAGGCTATAGCAAAATGGCTGGCAGTACGTCAAATTTATGTTTTGATACCCTCAGCGTCACACTGTATGATGATACCTTACTGTATGCAATTCTTCTGTACGTCAAATTCACGTATTGATACCCTACCCTTAGCGTCATGCTGTATGTCGATACCTTTCAAGGGTTAAGCGCCAACTGCCGATATATTGGCAATCTCATTAGGCTATATTCTAAAAACGCCAACTGCTGATTTATCGGCAATTAGATTTTATTCATTTAGAGCTCAAATGAGACAACTGACAATAGCCTACTAAAAATCATACCATATTAAAGCTAAAGAGTCTCCCTACTAGAATAACTTATACTTTATATAACTTATGTAGGATGCTTCTACAAACATATTTAACCCTCCGAGTGTCACGTGTTTTGGCCTTAATGTCAGCCTATTTTTTGCTCATTTGCAAGGTTTTATTAAAACTGATCTGAGAAGCTTAAAAACAATGTTAATTATACTGTTCTATATACCATTTTGTTTGGAAAATCTTGGGCTTCAATATTATATATAAAACATAAGGAAGATTAAAAAAAAAAAATTTTTTAGGTAAAAAAATGTATAATTTCGAAAATTTTCAAAAAAAAATAAGTTTGCGCTCAATGAAATTGTATAAATTATAGGCCTATAAATATTTGAAAATAGCCACTTTGTTCTAAATTTTATGAGGATTACAAATCTATAATAATATAAGGAAGTAGATTTGCAAATAAAAAAGTTATGGGCAAAAAACAGATTTCAGTACATAGCGTTTAGCTAAGAATGCATAGCCCAACCATAGCTAGGAATCTGGCTGATAATTTACATCAATATCACTACCTACTTCTTCAGGATCATCAACCAGCACTTCAAAACCACTTAAATCTTCTTATAATGCACCACGTATATCACTACTTTTGATTTTTAACACTAAAACAATGATAAACGTAATAAAACACATCAGTCATCGGTCCGAGGGTAACCTAGCTGTTTACAAATACACGCACGTCAGCTCAGTCAGCTGTCTGCTACAATATTTTCGGAACTAAAATGAATAGTGCTTAGAGACAGACCTCTGCAGAAAGCTTAGAATATTACGGACAGAACGATACCTAACTCAATCCAGTACAGTCCGATTCAGTTAGTCATAGAGCCTTCGCCGTAAACAGTGTTCGCGAGTCGCTGCAGCGACGCACGACACTATACAAAGTGCGTTACGCGTCGCTGCAGCGACGCATGACACTCGGAGGGTTAACTGTCTAGGCCTAATACTTGACTGGGAAAAAGAGCAATTCAAATGGCTTTGACACCGCCTGGCACAGCCTAATAGTTATTGAATGTTGTTGTTTAGGTACATTATCAATAACTTAACTTAATACATGTTTTGATTATTTAGTGCATATTTTTAATATTTAGTGGATGTTTTTAGTTATTAGTGAGACTCACTGAGTAAATAACCAGCCTATTGTATGGCTTTGTCATGGGTTCGGATCCTGACCACTGCCGATTAACATTTTATCAGTACAGATCATTTTTGTACTGTACTGGCTCACTCCTTGCTTTGTTGTACACGATCTACGCACGGGCAGTTAGTCCATGTGGACGGGCAAATGCAAGGTTAGAAGAGGCCGCCAATCTCTTAAAAAAAAGTTAATTGCGTTGGTTATCAAATACGTATTTTCATATATTTTGGCACAGTAAATTTATTTATTTAAGTCATAGCTTATATAGGCTACTCTTCAAAATTGGAATATTTACTCTCATTAGAAGACTGAACAAGCTTATAGTGTATGAACTAAACAACTTGATTTGTATGGTACCGGTAGTTATAAGTTATAGGCCACTACCCAAAAAAACAATTTTTTTATACCTATAGGCCTACAATGTGTGTATATTTAAATACAGTTTATCACATGTAAAATAAAGGAAACCGGATCCTTTTATGTTAACTTAAGTAATTCAAATTTTATAGCACTTTTAGCCAAAACATGCAAAAACACTGATTCTGCCCTGGCCATTTGGTGCATCACATATATGCATATTAGTGCTGGCCCATAGAGGAGGAAGTGGTTAAAAAAGCATCCTTAGATGGCGCTCAAAGGGTTCAATACAATAACTGTAGGCTTAGGGCCTATATGACTTAACTTCAACTAAGTCATACAAAAACTTAACTTCGATTAACTAAAACTTCAATTAAAGCATTGGACCTATATAAGACTTGTCAACAATTTTTGTGGGGTTAAAATTTCTCACAAAATAATAAATTATAAAAAAAAGAGGAAAAAGTTAGGTTTGCGTGTAGGTCTATTAATATTTTAAAAACACCACTTTGTTCTTATTTTTATGAGGATTTGCAAATAAGTTAGTTAGGCTTTGGGTGAAAAACACCTTTCACACTTTATCAATAAGTTAACTTAGCTTTGAGCGTATGGCCCAACAAGGAATCTGATGAATAATTTTCATCAATTTACTCGTGTGATCTGTCTGCTACAATATGATCGGCACAAAAAAATGAAAAGCGTAACGTCACTTACTAAGTTAGGTAACAGACATCGGGAGAAAGCTTAGAATCTGCCAAAAGCAATTATACCAATATGATTCAGTCAGTCACAAGAGCCTTTGCTTGTATCGTTGACTCATAAACAATGTTTGTGAGTCAACGCATATCCACGCAATGGTCGTACCCTTTACCCTTTAAGGTCGTCTTTAATTTTATACTTGTGTCGTTAAGACTATCCTTGCACGATTATTGCGTAAACTACTATTGTAAGGACTGGTTCCTTAATGGACAGTTTTGGTTAGGTTAGGGTATTTTATTAAATGTTAAGTTCTTGGAGTATGAAATAATGTATCGGTAATACTACAGTTCAATATTGAAGTAAGTTAGGCCTACCTATTTAATGAACTTCTAAGTTAGGCTACGTCTATGTTATCTCCAAGTAATTTCTTTTGTAGATTTTTCTTTTCGGGAATGTTAGGCCTATTTCTCTCTTTTTCTTTACTAATAAATTTACCATATCAACTTTGTAAACAAATTGTCAGTCATTAGGCATATTTTTCTCTTTTTTCTTTACTAAGAAATAACCCATATCAACTGTAAACTAACTTCATGGCCTACTTCGAGTATCACAATTCAGGGGATGTGCACTTTTACTTACCCATGGCTAAGGCTAATAATTCAGGGCTCACAATCTTAATGGAAAAAAAGTGTTTTGTGTAAGTTAATAAACTTAATCCGTTTAAGTATCAGTCATTTAATATGCCTAATTAGGCCTACCTAACCAGTGTTTGGACTATTTTGATTTTATCATGTAGGCTAAAAGTTCTGATTAAGATTAGTTAGTGCGATTAAACTGTCGATGTTCAGTCATTTTTTTCATTCTTATTTAAATAGCCTAATGAAAATTTATTATCCTTTGTTCTGTCTAAGATATACTAGAAAATTATTTGTTATTGGCATTGGCGGTTCTTGTCCATAAAACAGCCTGCGATAATAAGGTACCTAAAACTTATATTGTAGGTTCTCTGCGGAACTGTATCCAATGAATGTTTAAAAGTATGTATGTGTAATAAAGGCCATTCCTAGCTGTCAAATGCTGTTTTTGTCTGTGTTTAACAGAGAACTAACCATTAGTTGAACAGATCTTGTTGGTTTCTGGTGGATCTATTGATCAATGATGATCAGTTAGGCCTACTAAGTTACTTGACCTTGTAATGTTTCAGTTATCGTTACTGCAAAAACAAGCCTTACCCCAAGTCAAGGTTTTGTCGTGGTGTGCCTGACCCTAAGATCAGGATCTTTGATCTGGGAAAGAAGAAAGCTCGTGTGGAAGATTTCCCACTCTGCGTTCATCTTGTCTCTGATGAATATGAACAGCTTTCCTCTGAGGTAAGTTAGGCCAACCTGAGTACCTATTTGAGAGTTGTTTTGTTTTTTTACCTAGTACAGTAGACCTTAACCGACCCTAATGGGACCGGACCTAGGTCGGATGATTCAAAAGGTCGGATAAAACGGGCAATCCCTAAAATCATAACATAATAAAGTGCTATTCATTTGGAATTATATAATCATTATTTTGAAGTCATACTTGCATTATTTATAAAATAAACTACTCTTATCTCCTTTTTCATATTGATAGAAATGTCACAAATAAACACAAATCACGGATAAGTCAAATAGGCCTACTTTCAGTGAATATATTTTAATACTAGGCAAGAGTCAATAAAATTCCTATTTTAATAACTTTACTACTGTAATGTATTAATTAATGCTTTCCAAATACATCGTAATACAGTAAAGAACCTTTTGTCGTCATTAAAGATACAAGCGACCATTTTGTTACAAGACAGGACGTTTATTTATAGCCTCTCACTGGAGGCTCGAGGCACAAAAACTATCTTGACCTTGGAGTTGTTAACACCCCTTCCCTGCCCTCCCTACAAGTTGCGTTGTTTGTTTACTCCAGCGATAAGATAATCAGTTTCAAAATCGTAACGCACTTTATGATGTTATAAATTTGCTGCACAGATGACAAATCAGATCAGATGTGCTCGAGCTACGAACGATGATGACAAACTGACAATAGGTTTATGCTATATTTTTTGTGATCATCACAAAATAACTTATTGTTAGTCATATCCTGTGGAGATAAGCGTATGGTTCAGTTCTCATCGCCCAGCGTGGGAGCGGAAATGCCGAGATTCCTAGAAAGCGGCGGTTAAACCGAGCTGCTCTCAAAGCAAGGTCGGTTAAAACAAACTGTATTAGGCTAAATGGTTTAAGTTACCTGGCTTCGTCAAGTGATCCTTCTTCAGTATTACACTACTATAGTTTCGGACTTGAAAATAAGTCCATCTTCAGATTAACAAAAACGTCAATAGGTCATCTAACCAATTTGGTTAGATTCGTCGATACACTTAAATCGACTATTACACTCTATAGTAGTGTAATACTGAAGAAGGATCACTTGACGAAGCCAGGTAACTTAAACCATTTAGCTTAAATTTAGTGATCCAGAGGCTACCTCACCATGAAACTGTATTATTTTACGATCAACGGCGGATAGTCCGATTATCGGTTAATACGAGGTCGGTTAAGAGGGGGTCTACTGTAATGTTCATTTTTTGTTAAATATTTCATCTACTGAACTTAACAATTTTTTACATAAAACACCTACAATTTGCTTATTGTGATGAGTGTACAGTATTAAGTGTATATTGCCAGTATACACACTGAACACAACTACTCCAGTCCTGCTTGTCATGCTACGCAGACCCAATGATCAGTGTAAAGTTAACTGCTTGATTAATAAATATTTGCAGTTAATTTACCAATAACTCCGCTTGTTTTTCAGGCTCTGGAAGCCGGCCGTATCTGTGCCAACAAGTACATGGTCAAGAACTGCGGTAAGGACCAGTTCCACATCAGGATGCGACTCCATCCCTTCCACGTCATCCGCATCAACAAGATGTTGTCCTGCGCTGGAGCTGATAGGTGGGTGAAATCTGTTCATTAACATAGGTACTTTGGCAAATTGGAATTAAGCTTTCATAACACAACCTGTAAGTTAACTTTCCTTGATTTCTTTATTATTAACTACATTGTAAAACATGAGTAAGTTTGAGCGGGTAAGGTGCAGGATTTATATTTAGCAAAGTAACAGTTTTATGTTATAACTAAATTATTCAAAGTTTTTATTTTATTTACCACATCCAACTTGCATTGTGCTAGAAGGCATGATTTTATTGCCATTTAGATTTAATATATTTAAATCTTTAAAATAACATTGGTGGTTTAGGATTGTTTGTGAGTATAGCAGGCTTACTGTGCGCGCAAGAATCAGAACTGGCACAAGAGATGAAAAACTTACACTACCTATATACACAAAATATTAGTATAATTCACTGTTACCATTTTCAACTAAGGAAGAGATAGTTTTCTAACTTACTGGTCCAATAATTAGTGGTTTGTAATTGTTTGACCTTAGGCTCCAGACTGGGATGAGAGGAGCGTTTGGTAAGCCCCAAGGGACAGTCGCCCGAGTGAGGATCGGTCAGCCAATCATGAGCGTCCGCTCCAGCGACCGTTACAAGGCGTCAGTCATTGAGGCTCTGCGTCGTGCTAAGTTCAAGTTCCCCGGTCGTCAGAAGGTTAGTTGAACTTTGTATTCAATTTTCCATCAATTATTATACGGTATTTTGAACATTAAATTAGTAGCTTTTAGTCTTGTTCTAATCAATTTTATCAAACCCTTGCTGAGGTAATGTATTATTTGTGTAGGCTGCTGTGTGGATTCTTCAAATATGTAGTAAATTAATCATACTTAATACTTACTTTAATACTTTTCAATGAAATGGCGACCATACAAAGTTAGGTATTTTAAGCCAAGTATGAATGGAATTGAGTGTAGGATATTAAACATTCAATTTTATTTCACCTTTATAAAGTATAAAAAACCTAATTGTTTTATGTACTTTTTACAAACTAAACCAAAATTGTATTGTGGAGTCGTTAGGGGTTGATATTAATGTAGAGTCAAACAAATTTAAAATTATCTTGTCAGAAATATGTTAAATTATATTAGCAGGATAATTTTACCAGTGTATGAAGAAAGCAGTAGGTTACAACCTATTTAAATGTGTGGTAACAATATATTTTTTTTTTATTTCTCAATTAAAACTTGGGAAATTTGATTTCTGTTTCTGGTAACTATTGAACAATGGTGAAAATTTGACCAATCTCAAGTTCCAATTTTAAAAAAAAATCATAACAAACCATGTTTTTTTTAGATCTACGTTTCCAAGAAGTGGGGTTTCACCAAGTACGACAGAGATACGTACGAGCAGCTCAAAGCTGACAACAGACTGGAGAACGACGGCTGCAACGTCAAGTACCGTCCCGAGCACGGATCTCTGGAAATTTGGAAGAAGAACCAGCACGAGCTGATGCCGTGTTAAATTATGTCGTTTATTTTAATAAACAAATAATGTGAAATTTGTTACAGTCTGTGTTTTATTTTCTACTTCAACTATACCATCTGAATTATGAAAGGTGCTAAAAGTTAGGTGTATAAATTTACTAAAATGGTATTAAAGTAGAACCCCGGTTAACCGAAATAAAGAGAGTAGAACCGTTTCAGATAACCAATTTTTTTCGGTTAATCCATCATGCTAAATATTATGTATGTATTACCACGGTGAGTTGGAAAATGAATTTAAAACAATAACTATTAACTATTAAGACATTGTCTGTGTGTTAAGAAATTTCAGCTATGGGTTAGAATATACTTCAAACTAAACAACTGAAGTTATTACAGCATTTTACATTACGTATTAATTATATTTTAGCTCTGTATTATTTTATGGAACCGTTTCGGTTAACCGGGGTTCTACTGTATTTTTATATCCTAGTGTGTTCAAATGCATGGCATTCAACAATTTCGGCCCCTTATTGATATGCATTTTAAGGCTCCCACATCATTGTCTTTTAAACATCCCTGCTCTTTGACTAAAATCAAACGGAAGAACAAATAAATACAAGATCTCCAAGATGGAGTCAAGGTTGAACTTATCTTATGCTCCTTACACCCTGCTGTGAGCTGTTACAATAGCTCTCATTGGGGTAAGGAGACTGATGACAAGTTAAAGTTTAGTAGGCAGTGATTGGGTGACAGGGCTGGGGCCCTGGGCTCTGAAGGGGGCCCGACCCGATCAAATGTAAAATCTTTTCTGGACATTTAACACTGCTAATAGTAAAAACATTAAGCATGGTTTTTCAGTTCACTTAGTAATTTTTTAATAGAATAAAGTTGCAACTGTGAGCACAAGAATTAATCAAACTACCATGCATTTTTAAAATGTATTTTGTATGTGTAACAAAACGGCACGGAGGCGGCTGGGCACTAAATCAGGAAAATAAGGGGCATGTGACGGCTCTCGCCGGCCCTGTTGGGTGATCATTAACCATGGCAACTTAGTAGCCTGTGATTGGATAACTTAATAAGTAACCATGGCTACTGTTTAAAGTTGATAAATAATACTCCCGCCGAAGCAGGCCTGCTGAGTAAGTGAAGTCTGGATCGCGAAAGTTTGCAGTTGGCAGCAGCCAATCACAAGACAAGGCTAGTGCCGTCAATTGGACAATATTTATGTTTATTGTGACGTAAACACATTCATCTCGAGCGTAAAATTAGTTGTCTAACGTTTTTATTGGTTTTTTATATGAATGTTTTCAACTACAGGGACATAAATGATGGATAGCTTATCATTATTGACATTCCTCTGTCCTGAAACGCCGGTATAGGTGGGTAGCCTTTCACTTGCAGTAGCTTACTAGACTTTCTACTGTTTTGTAATTACGTGATTTATTGGTCATTGGCTAGCTATTGCCAAATTTGAGACGCGCTATGAAAATGCCAAATTAATATCTATTTATACGGTACAGTGTTTTATGGGTTTGTTATATATTTTTGTAACAGATAAGATCATTCGTGTTATCAAATTATTCGTGGTCTCCCTCCCTCCAATTACCCCTGATAACCCAGGTTCTAATGTTCAAGGCATCTTTACACTTTCAATCCTGTGCAAAATTTTTATTGAGAACAGCAGAATAGGACAACACCTGAAATGTTCTGCCACGAGACAAGCTTAGAAACAAATACACTACATCTAGTGTAATGTACACAAGAAATTACCTTAAAGGTTGAACTTGTGTACAGACAAGATGTAGCAACTGATTTATTCCCTTAAATATTGGTTGTCAATAATCGAATGCCATTAACTAAGGATAACATTTCTTACTGTGTAGACCATATTTTCTCTAACTTTGGTGGCAACAAATTCAAGAAAAAGCCCTTATTTCTAAAGGGAAGAAGCTATCAACGTGATTCTCTTGCAATCAAACCTAAAAATACTAATTTATCACAATGGTTTTTAATTAATTATGAATAAACAACAAAAATAATTTAAGGTAGAGGATTGTTTCACTTTTGCAATATGACAGTTAATAACATTCAATTTGGTCCTAAAAAAGTTACATGAAGTTTTTATGAAAACTCAAGCTTGTAGGTTAACATTTTATTCATGTTAAAGAAGGAATTTCCTCCTTGATAAAGCGAAAATTGGAGGATGAAATACTTAAGTTGGAAGTGGAGGTTTTTAAATCCAAAAAAGGAAAACAAATAAGAGGATGAAGTTACTTTGTAGGCTGTATAAGGAACTGCTCATGAGCTAAAGAACAAAAGCTGAGAAACAAAGATAACTTGTGTGAATGGCTAGCAGCAATGGAAGCAAAAGTAATATATGTAATTTAGTAAATCTTGTGTGTACTTATTTAGTGAAAAAATTCTGTAAATAGAAAATCATTAAAACAATGTTCATTTTATATTAATTTAATATTACTATCCAAAAAAATCATTTAAACAAGAAAGAATGAGGATATAAAAGAAGACACAATTATTAGTCTATGATGATTTCTTTCTAAGTACAGTATACAAGCATTAATACTTCAGTTTCATTGCAAGATTAAAACTAATTAGTCAATAAATAATACTAACACAACTTGAAGACCGGACATGATAAGACAAATTCTATCAGATCAATTACATAAAGCTTAAAGCTCGTAAGATTGGGGTTTATGATATTTTTAAATTAAGTAACAAGAGATCACAACAAATTTGTTTAAGGTCAAAAACCTTACAATATTAACATATCAGTTTTACATTTTCTCATAACAATTTATTACTAAAGTCACCTAGAAGTGATGCCTTAAAGCTGAACAAATTCATAAAATTAAGGTTGATCTAAAGGAAACAGTTAACTAACTACTGTAGCCTACTAAACTAAAAAAAACACATGGTGGCACTGATCAGTACCAATGAATACAAACACCTTAAGAAGCGCAATGCCTTTGTTAAAAATTCAGTCCGGGATTGAATTTTGGTTAGTTCCTGTGGCCGCCGCTAGGTAGACTATCACGAGCGTGCGGTCAAGTCAGATGACTGAATGACATTTAGTGAGACAAAGAATCGGTTTAGAAAGAGAGAGAGATATAGTAGCGTGTCCGCTGCACAAGCGATTCTAGCGGCGGCCCCACAAAGCTCATTTCGACGGCAAAATTCCAGTCTGACTATTCTCCATAAGCATTTCACTTCTTAAAGGGTTTGTATTCATTGTCAGTACACTACATAGCTGTATGATAAAATAATTCACAACTAAAGTAAACATAAAACATTATCTGATAATGAACATTTAAACTCTCATAAACTTGCAAATACATCAACAAACTAGAACAAACAATATAACAACAATGGTATGGAATGGAATGACATGAGGACAACATGGTTGATTGCACAGTAAATACTTAAAATAATAAAACATTGAAAAGTTAGTTTACAAAAACATAATTCTAAGACTGTGTAACTCTCTTTTAAATAACCTACATGGAAGTTAGGAGATAATTTAATTCAAATAATTTAAAAAATTTATAGTGGAAAACCAAATTATTTATAATCAATAAAAACTTTAAAATTCAAGAAGTTATTCAAAATTCAACTCGTCCAAGAAACACAGCACCTAAACAAGATATGTTGTCACCTTAAGATATTTATTTTGAGTTTTCCGCTAACTACAAATTTTAACTCTTAAGGCGCACAGTGTAAAATTAACATAAGAGAAGCATTTAAATGACATCAGGGCACTTGAACATAATCAGACATCCAAAGAGGCTTCATATTTTACAATAGTATTAGAAATATAATTGCAGTTGACAAAGACAATGGTAGATAGACTATTCACTCCAACCTTTCCAGCCAACAAAGCTTATTTTTCCTGAGCCTCCAAAATATCAAAATTTGAAGCAGCTTTGCCAAGGTAAACGAAACCAAATATTACATCCCCCTGATAGAATCACAATGCTACAGTATTTTATTTTATGACTAATTATAGCACAATATGACAATTCATAAAAAAATACATTAAAACAGGCTGTTGGAAAGTACACGACAAAGAGGTCTTCAATCTTAATTTTTAATGTGAGTTTTTATTTATAGTCCATAACTTCTAGCCTTTGCTATTCAATAAATATCTTATCAAATAATCTGTGAAATCACAGTATTTTGTAAGGTCCACCATTAATGACAAAGGACAGTATCGAATCAACAAATTTACATAAGTGAAAAATATATTGGTTACGCTCCCTTTTCATAAGAATTCAAGTCTTTACATAATTTTGGCCAGCCAAACTTCCTTGTAATCGTTATCTGTTTAATGTCTTGATAATTAGTTGTATACAAAAACAGTCAAATAAACATTAATAATGTTACATAAAAATAAATTGCAAATCCATTATATTTGTTTCAATAATTCTATAGTTAACGTTTTTATACGAATAATTATACATTTTTACAGCAGTGATTCACAATGCATTTGCGGCAAACTATTTACAAACGAAGAAAATCTTAACCTCATGAGCTGGAGAGGGAGAATGATTCTATTTCTTTCATTTCTGTGACGGTTTCATCGTCCATATTAAAGCTGACAACAACTCTCAGTAAAATTGGTTCCTGAAAAAAAAAATAGTGGTCACATTACATCAATAGAAATTACTGATAACTTTTTATTTTTCAGGACCTATAGAAGCCTCATTTATTGTGTTTTAGTTCATCTAACAAAAATCTCTTAATTCACTTAGTGTGGATAACATTTTACAAAAACCTTGAAACTTATATCCATTCAAACACAACCACTAAATGTATGGTTTACAATGCAACTCCTAAAATAGCAGTGAGACACAATCTTATCCAATCACTAATACTATCATTGAACTAAAAAATAAATGAGTTTCATTCATTGAGTGTATGGAATTCTATTGATATAAAATCTGCATGGTAAAAAGAGAGTTGTGAATAGCCAAATTGTTGAAGAGAGTAAACTATAAAGCCAAGAGGGAGGAGAGGAGTATTTTAGTTATGTAGCTAGTCTTAGAAATGGTTGGAGGCTTATTGTGAATGATGTCACAGTCCAAATCACGCTCTAATCTAGGCTGTTGCACCACCAAAACGAGAGTAGACTCTCCCTAATCCGGCACTGCGCCACTCCAGGTGTCTTTTGACAGGGGAAGTCTTCCGCGATCGTGTGAAAATTCTTATTATCTCCCGCGGCCGTGTAGACATCATCATCCACTACCACGGTCATTGTCGTCTTTTGCAATAGTAGAAAATCATGACATCTCCCGCGGCCGTTTAGACATTATCATCGCCTCCCGCAAACACAGAAACATCATTGTAGTCTTTTGTGATTGCGGCAAAATTATGAACAACTCCCCCACCTGTTTAGACATTATCGTTATATTCCACGATCGAGGCAAAATCTCCCGCGGCCGTGTAAACCTCATCATCCACTCCCGCGGTCACGGAATCGTCATCGTTGTCTTGTGCCATTGCGGCAAAATCATATACATCTTCCTTGGCCGTTAGATGACATTATCGTTGTATTCCACGATAAATTCTGATCATCACCCGTGGACGTGTAGACGTTATCATCGTCTCCTACGATTACGGAAACGTCATTGTTATCATGCCCAATCGCGGGAATAGCGGTTGCGATCTTTGGAGACAAGTTTCAAGTGTTTTTATTGATAACATTCCAGTAAACCGGCATTTTCACTAATCTAGCAGTATCACGGTCCTATATCTGCCGGATTACTGAGAGTCTACTGTATGTTATCTTTGAAATCAATGATTGACTGATTATGACTGATTGTTTAGAATGAAAAGGGTAAGATACAGAGAGGTAAGGTACAGAGGAAACATTAAATTGCGGGTATTGCATTGACTTTCTGCAGGTGTTTTTCATATATGGATACTGACTCCCCCATGAATCAAATTGTTTTTACCCCCGCAGAATCAAATCGCGATTTGATGCATCGAATCGGAATTTCGATGCATCGCACACACCTACTCTACTGTCGGGGAAAAAAGTTTAGACACTCGAGTTTAGAGCTCTACAGAAAAGTTACCAAACTAACTTAGAAAAACACGTAGTATATCTAAATTTTCGTTGTTTTATTCTACGTATTCCTGTGAAAACAAAAAATTTTTAGCTCGTTTAGGAAATTTTTTATGACAGTCGGAAGGTAAAAACTCCCTGTTTTTAGAGTATCAAAAACCATCTTATGACTTTGAAAATTCGCACAATGTAAACTAATCGTCAGAACCTTATCAAACTTTAATACAATATAGACACATATATAATGAATTAATTTGTGTAGTTTAAGAATTTATACTCTACCCAAAAAGTTTTTGTTCTAACTTTTGTAAATTACTTTTTCTCAAAAACGGCAAACGCTAGAAAAAAAATTAAAAGCTTGTTTCGAAGGTGATTGTTTTTGTATTTGAAATATTGATACTGCTCAACCAAATTGTTACGCATATTATTTATATAAGTTAAAATTTAATTTGGATAGTGCAGAGGCCGAATAAGGCACTTCCATACCGCCACCGGCTCTGACTGGGTGCATACCCCATACAGTGTTGCCAAATTGAACACCTGGACACTGAGCAGCGATGGGCTGCGAACTGTTGAGTCAAAACTGAACAGCAGTTATTATTAATTACCATTTCCTATCACCTTTTCTAATGATGGCTTTGGACCTCCAACGTCACTCCCTCACTTCTAAAAAAAAACATATAGCACTGACAATCATTGCATATTCCCAATCTGACAATTTAGATTTAGCACCTATATTTGGGGTGGTAATACTTTCGACCATTTGGATGAATGCAAAACATGATATTTCCTGTGAGTCAGTCTGTGACACACACTGCGTGAATCACCTTACGCTCGGTCAAGGTCCATCGTGGCAACACTGCACTGGATTCCTGAGCGAGCGATGGCGTTTGCACCCCTTGCAGGCGCGAGATCATCCAGTTTTTTGTTAATTTATATAAATGACATGCGTAACAATTTGGTTGAGCAGTATCAGTATTTCAAATACAAAAACAATCACCTTCGAAACAAGCTTTTAATTTTTTCTCTAGCGTTTGCCGTTTTTGATAAAAAGTTGATTTACAAAAGTTACAACAAAAACTTTTTGGGTAGGGTAAAAATTCTGAAACTACACAAATTAATTCATTATATATGTGTCCATATTGTATTAAAGTTTGATAAAGTTCTGCCGTTTAGTTTACATTGTGCGAATTTTCAAAGTCATACGATGGTTTTTGGTACTCTAAAAAAAACAGGCAGTTTTTACCTTTCGACTGTCATAAAAAATTTCCTAAACAAGCTAAAAAAATTTTGTTTTCACAGGGAAACGTAGAATAAAACAACGAAAATTTAGATATACTACGTGTTTTTCTAAGTTAGTTGGTTACTTTTCTGTAGAGCTCCAAACTCGAGTGGCTAAACTTTTTTCCCCGACAGTAGGTCTACCAGACTCACCCTTGTAGAGCTGGCTATCAACATGACCTGAGTGATTGCAGCTGGAGGTAGGAAGGGGTTGTGAGCTGGTAACTCAGTGCTGGACGGAGGCTGCAGCTTCAACTTGCACCCCTACAAACATCAAACTACAGTGACAACTGGTCTCATGAACTCCCATCAAAAGTAACTCAAGTAAATCTTTATCTGATATGAAAAAGTATTGGGATTAAATCCATTGATAACTAATGATTTATGGTTTAACAAATCCAAATATATGCATACTGCCCCCCCCCCCCTTACAAATAGGCTGAGTGTAAGGAGAAAGTGTAGCATTATCTGTTTTGGGCCCGATGAACCCCCAAAAAAGTGGTTTTTGAAGTAATGTCTCCGTGTAGATGTGTGCAGAGCAACAGACTACACCTGCAGTAGATTTCAGGAACACAAAAAAGGCTCAAACGATTTTAATTTGTAATTATTTAGTATGTCTTCTAACTATAACGAAATAGTACAACCCCAATGCTGTAAAAATAAAAAAAAGTAAAAACATCATTGACTTATCCTGGCATTTGATGAGTACAAAGAGCACGATATACGGACTAATTACTATGAGTTACCCAGAGTTCTTGGCCCAATAATAATCAGTACCACATAACTTCTGACAATACCTTGGGTACAATGGCTTGAAACAGGTAATCGGTGACTGGGAACTGACTGCTGCTAGTGGTGGTGACGACAAACACAGAGACGTCGGGCCGAGGACTGTCTCTGCCAAAGTGGATCTTGACGGAGATGCCTCGCTCTTCTACTACAGTCAGCGGAGGTAAACTGCCTACAACGTCCACATAAAATACTGAAGTACTTTCATTGTTAGTTGACAGTGCAATAAAATAAAGAATATTATGCATGATTTTAAATAGCCACAAGCATTGACCGGAATTTTACTTTTACATATTGCCTTTAGTGTCAATAAATTCAATTTTAAATGCTTGAAAACTCACTTGTTGAGGTATCATTCATTCTGATGAATAGAGCATTTTACAACGAATTTTTAACTCCCATAGCTTTGTATAATAGCAAGTTTGGTTGAAGAAGTATTCAAGAAAAAGGAACATCAAACAAATTTCGAAATCTGATAAGATTATTCGTTTGAAAATTAATATATACCACGATATCAGTAATGTCTCCATGGTCATTACATAAGATAATTTCTTCCAACAAAACACATAGGCTTTGGTCACAACTAGTTTGAAAGTTCCCACAAAAAAAGGTATAAACTTTTAGGTTTGAAACACTGGACACTGTTCGGTATAGACCATTTAATACAATTAAAAACTACTAGCTTGAATTGGTTTTTTGACAACAAATTGAAATTTTTAATAATATAAGCTGAATTAGTCAGAAGAAGTTTCATGTTGGAAAATCACTGATAGAAAAATCTACTTTTGGGTGTTTGTTGAACTAGCATCTCAGACTACCGTGTGAAAGAGACAGGTCCAAGCACCAGCGTATCCACACAAATTTGAGGGTTTTTAACCACTTTACTTTAAAACTGTTAAACAGTTTCTTCCACCAAAAATGCCAATCTTGCCAAAAATAAGAACAGCTTACAGAATATTATCAACCAAATCATGCACAACTTAAATCTTGTCTTAATTTCAAAGCTCACCAGGTTTTATACTGTCCAAGGTAACATTTACGTCTCCCAAGGATCTAACGACAATCTGTTCCTTGGGTTGTTCTATAGTCTTGTTCTCTTCAGTCTTTTTAACAGGAGTCTGTTCAATCTCTAGCAGAGGTTCTGGCTTCGAAGTGTCTAGAATACAAGCATCTCCGTTTAACTGAGGTGGCTCCGAGGTCAACAGGTCACTTGGGCCATCTGGTGAACAAAACAGGATTTATAAAGCTGTGGTTAAAGTTGAAAAAGCACCCCAAAGCAGAATGGTTCCTACGTGTCTGCAACGGCCTGTGAAAACCTCAAAATGTGTCCGCAAGCGCTAAAACTAAAAAGCTAAATAATGACTTATATACCGGTATATATATATATATATTCACTCTTTAGGGCTACTAGTAATATAGTTAAATAAAATAAGTAAATTTCAATAACTTGTATAGCCTACTTTTAAAACAAAAAACTAAAAAACTATTAAGGGGTAGGCATAATCAGGTTATTTAAATTTACTTTTTTTTAAATACCTATATATATATACACATACCTTAACAAGTGTTAACAAGGTCTTCAGAAGTAAAACTTTAAATGTACTATAGTTTCTTTATATAAACACACTAGGGATGGACGGGATTGAAATTTTAGTTCGGGACGGGACGGGACGGGATTTTTATTTCCTTCCCGATTTTCGGGACGGGATGGGACAGGATTTTTTTCTGTGCATAAAAAAAAGTACTGTATTGCAGTTACCAAAAAAGACATACGAAATCAATTTTTACCATTTGTGGCACTGATCTATAAAAACCAAAAAATGGGTAACAATTTACAGGTACCTATAGAAACTTGTGACTCGCGGGTCACGGGGTGATCGTCTATAGAACTCACGGTCACGGCGCGATCGTAGTCATGACTCGCGGTCACGGCGCGATCGTCGGTATGACTCCGCGGTCACGGTGCGATCGTCGTCATGACTCGCGGTCACGGCGCGATCGTCGGTATGACTCGCGGTCACGGCTCGATCGTCAGCATGACTCCGCCATCACGGCATGATCGTCAGTATGACTCCGCGGTCACGGCGCGATCGTCGGTAGGACTCTGCGGTCACGGCGCGATCGTCGGTAGGACTCCGCGGTCACGGGGTTATCGTCGGTATGACTCCACGGTCACGGCGCGATCGTCGGTATGACTCCGCGGTCACGGGGTTATCGTCGGTATGACTCCACGGTCACGGCGCGATCGTCGGTATGACTCCGCGGTCACGGGGTTATCGTCGGTATGACTCCACGGTCACGGTGCGATCGTCGTCATGACTCGCGGTCACGGCGCGATCGTCAATATGACTCTCGGTCACGGCTCGATCGTCAGCATGACTCCGCCATCACGGCATGATCGTCAGTATGACTCCGCGGTCACGGCGCGATCGTCAGTATGACTCGCGGTCACGGCGCGATCGTCGATAGGACTCCGCGGTTACGTCGTGATCGTCGGTATGACTCGCCATCATGGCATGATCGTCAGTATGACTCCGCGGTAACGACGCGATCGTCGGTAGGACTCCGCGGTCACGGCGTGATCGTCGGTATGACTCGTGGTCACAGCGTGATCGTCGGTAGGACTTCGCGGTCATTCCATTTCCATTCCATTTCGTTTTGTCATGAGAGCCGAAGCCCCCTGACTGCATACCCGGTACCTATCCTTTAGGACATACCCGGGCCCCATGATGTAGGCCGAAGCTTACGCATCAACCTTTAGCACATCATGGGCGGATGACTTAAGGTCATCAAGCTCGCCGGCTGCCGAAGCAGACCCTTCGGAGAGAGGGTTGCCCCTCAATCCTAACCAGGGATTCCGGCTACTTGTTTAAGCGTCACTCCACCTGGGTTCCACTAGGTCGAGACCTAGAGGTCCATGGTAGAGCGCCCCGACGCATTTAGTGCAAGCAACACTCGGGACCTATCTAATCCCCGACAGGCAGAACCCGCCATCGATAGCCAGGAGGAAGGGGACCATCAGCACGCTGACGGGGGGAACCCCAACCTCCCATTTACACCGCTGCCCGATCGAGGCCTTACCCATTGCTGGGAAACCAGAGATAACCAGAGCGATAGATCCCCAGATACCCCTGGCGGGCTCGGACCCAGCACCCGATCTACTTCGTTTGCCCGTCAGACCCAACATCACTGCCAGGCCATCAGGGTTTCCCAAAAGGAGGCAGGTATAGAAGTGGGACCCACCCGGATGAACCTATCCACCAGAGGTGGCGACACCCTTGACTCAATTGAGGTTCCGGGAAGAACCCCCCACACTCAAGATAACCATACCGTCCGTGCTCAGAGACAGGGATTGGTTTGCATAAGTACCTACAAACCGTTGCCCTCACACTGCGGAAAGTTACGTTGCCCTTAAGTGTCCCCGTGAGCTGCGGGTACTTGCCCGTTTTCACCTCCAGGAAAGGTTACTTCCAAAGTCGAGGATTTGCCCACTGAATGCTGGTCGCACACAACAAGCAGGCCGAAGCCCAAAGAACCACAGACACAGGTAGGTTAGAGATTATGATGTACTTCCATCTCTCCTAGAGCTAAACACCCCTCCATCCTGGATAAAGGAATGTCACTGGGACCCAATGCCCAATCGTCCATGTCTGTGGCCAACTTGAAAATGCCGATACCAACACGGAGCATTTACCTCCCCTCTGGGGGACTTCGCGGTCACGGCGCGATCGTCGTTATGACTCCGCGGTCACGGCGTGACTGTCGGTATGACTCCGCGGTCACAGCCCGATCGTAGTCATGACTCGCGGTCACGGCGCGATCGTCGGTATGACTCCGCGGTCACGGGGTTATCGTCGGTATGACTCCACGGTCACGGTGCGATCGTCGTCATGACTCGCGGTCACGGCGCGATCGTCGGTATGACTCGCGGTCACGGCTCGATCGTCAGCATGACTCCGCCATCACGGCATGATCGTCAGTATGACTCCGCGGTCACGGCGCGATCGTCGGTAGGACTCTGCGGTCACGGCGCGATCGTCGGTAGGACTCCGCGGTCACGGGGTTATCGTCGGTATGACTCCACGGTCACGGCGCGATCGTCGGTATGACTCCGCGGTCACGGGGTTATCGTCGGTATGACTCCACGGTCACGGTGCGATCGTCGTCATGACTCGCGGTCACGGCGCGATCGTCGGTATGACTTCGCGGTCACGGCGCGATCGTCGTTATGACTTAGCGGTCACGGCGTGACTGTCGGTATGACTCCGCGGTCACAGCCCGATCGTAGTCATGACTCGCGGTCACGGCACGATCGTCGGTATGACTCCGCGGTCACGGGGTTATCGTCGGTATGACTCCACGGTCACGGTGCGATCGTCGTCATGACTCGCGGTCACGGCGCGATCGTCGGTATGACTCCGCCATCACGGCATGATCGTCAGTATGACTCCGCGGTCACGGCGCGATCGTCGGTAGGACTCTGCGGTCACGGCGCGATCGTCGGTAGGACTCCGCGGTCACGGGGTTATCGTCGGTATGACTCCACGGTCACGGCGCGATCGTCGGTATGACTCCGCGGTCACGGGGTTATCGTCGGTGTGACTCCACGGTCACGGTGCGATCGTCGTCATGACTCGCGGTCACTGCGCGATCGTCGGTATGACTCGCGGTCACGGCTCGATCGTCAGCATGACTCCGCCATCACGGCACGATCGTCAGTATGACTCCGCGGTCACGGCGCGATCGTCAGTATGACTCGCGGTCACGGCGCGATCGTCGGTAGGACTCCGCGGTTACGTCGTGATCGTCGGTATGACTCGCCATCATGGCATGATCGTCAGTATGACTCCGCGGTAACGGCGCGATCGTCGGTAGGACTCCGCGTTCACGGCGTGATCGTCGGTATGACTCGTGGTCACAGCGTGATCGTCGGTAGGACTTCGCGGTCACGGCGCGATCGTCGTTATGACTCCGCGGTCACGGCGTGACTGTCGGTATGACTCCGCGGTCACAGCCCGATCGTCGTTATGACTCGCGGTCACGGTGCGATCGTCGGTCCAATAATCGCGGCCACGGCGCGATCGTCGTTATGACTCCGTAAATGTGTCCGCAGGCCCGCGTTTCTCGGCGTTTCGTGGAGACGTAGGAATTGGCTAACTCTGGAATTCACTAACTCGGTCGTGTGTCGGAACTGGCTAACTCTGGAACTGGCTAACCGTCTCAGTCAGGAATTGGCTAACTCCGGAACCCGCTAACTCGATTTTGTCTCGCGGCGGAATTCGCTAACTCTGGAAGTCGCTAAACCGGCCGCGCCCACTGCACGGAGCGTTGCCAACCTTATTCGACGAAATACTCGTACACTGCCGTATTTCAAAATGTCAGTGTCAATGAAGATACAGTAAATGTTATTGTTTTTTGTTATCAATTCCACTTTTAACAGATAACTAGTCCAAAGTAATTCAAAGACAATAAAAAAATCATGAAAAAATGTTTTTTATTTTTATTTAACTGTACAATGGCCAATTAAATGTTTATGATTTTGATCTTAAATATAAATGCCATCAGTATAAAAGAAAATAATATAATATGAAAAATATTTAAAATTCAGTTTAATAGGTACTAAATAATTATACCTCTACTAAATTAAGCTAAAATACACGCAAGTTCTCAAACATGCAGAAAACAAATTTAATCGTAATGTTGTAATAAACCAAAACTATTAATTAATACAGTCATCAACCATGGTAACTTGCATAACTAATTCATACACTTAAAACATAGATAAAACATACTCCCTTAGTTAAAATTAAATGTTCGTCGTTGAATCGTCAAACGTGTACAAATATGACATAGATCAAGTTTCATATCAACTTATAGAATAGCTGTAGGCCTAATGGTTTAAACCAAAGCATTTTAGGCCTACTAGTAAATAGTTGCCTAATTCTAAAATGGGTTGAATTTTTTAGTAATAATGTTACATGTTTTAAAACAGTTTTTAGTTTGTACACCTAAGCATCACTAGTAAATAATAGGAGAAGATATAATATTCATATAATAAAACGTGACAGGTTTATTTTAATTCACGATTTTTAATCAACGACTTGACGGATTTTCCTGATTTGAGTGTTGGGTTTCCTTTATATTGCTTTCACAATCGAAATAAACTATACCAAGCCATTGCTCGGTTCCCTGTTCCCCGGTACTGAGCTACTCAATAGACTATAGCTTTGTTTTTGGATAAGATCAGACAATTTTAGCTATGGCCACCATTCATAAAAATGATAACAAACAAGAACGACTAGGTCCATTTAGCACCATAAAAAATCCACACTTTTAAAAAGTAGGCCTACTGAAAGACGTAAAATTAATATTAATTGAACAAAATTAAGAGGATGACCCGACTTCTAACTAATTGCCTACGATAACAGAAATTTTCAAGTTGTATATATGCATATACAAATTTGTAATGCAATCCATGAATACATTAGGCCTACCACTTTATAATGTATTGATCAATATTTATTTAAATTCAATAGCTCTATTTAAAAAAAAACATTACCACTACAATGTATTTCTGTAATGACGTTTAACGTGTACATTTTATCATGATTTATGATTCAATTTTATGATTCAAGGTTACAAGCCCAGTATATAAAATACGAACTTAATAATCATATTTGCAGAAGTTCACAAAATGGTATTTATTTCAATAAAAGAAACAAATGGCGGACTACGATAATAGATATTTCGTAACATGTAAAAGATCCAAATTAAATGTTCAGTATTATCTTTTTGCATCCCAATAAGCTACTATTCAAGTGAGAAACCCACATACAAAACATACCCCCTTATATTAGTACATTTTCTCATCCTTATGGATCAGCTGAAGACAGTTTTATTGTTAGGTCTGTTCGGTGCACTGTCTTTAGAAGTCGTGTTTTGTTTATACAATTGTTTCTTGTTTTCAGTCATTTAAAACCTCGTTTAACCAAATAAATCGTTCTAATCACAACTAATAACACGTCTCCTAGTTATACAACCAAACATTAAACAACTAATCATAAAGTTAACTATAAAATAATAGAAACACAATTTCGTCGACACTTGCGATCAGTGTCACCGGACATGAACTAGACACGAAATACGAGCTCCAAAGTTTACTTGTGTTGGTTAGGCTATGGTAAGACTATAATACATTTTCCACCCTAATAATCATAAGAATAATATTAAACATACTTCTAAATATAGTTTATCGACTCTATCAACTATAATGTAAGGTATATTTTTGTACATTTTATCAACTACGTTGCTCTTAATCCTATAGTTATTCGTAGGATACGACATTATGGTACCGATACGATATAGGTACTACACTTTCGGCAACACTGGCTAAAAATCTTCGTGCTTTGCTCCCATTGGACGGCCCGCGAGGCTTCTGATTGGGAGTTAGCGAGTTCCGCCGAGGGACCGAGTTAGCGACTTCCGTACGAGGACGGAATTCGCTAACCCGGCTCTAGAGCGGGTTAGCGGGTTCCGGAGTTAGCCAATTCCGAAACCGAACAAGTTAGCGAGTTCCTCTCATCGACCAAATTTGAAGATAGGGCGTTTAACATGGGGTTAGCGAGTTCCAGAGTTAGCCAATTCCGCGGACCCGTTTCGTGTTCGCGACAATGTCGCAGCGTCGCTCGTTGTTCTGCTTTGGGGAAAAAGCATAATAAAATACACGGTTCCGGGCATGCTTCGCAGTTCTTATTTTGCTTTGTAAAGAGAGGCCTTTCTATGACCAAAGTCACCAAGGAGTGAGCAAGCTAGTGTAGTGGTTAGAGCGCGGTCCCTGAGGTCCTGGGTTCAAATCCCACAAAATCACCAATGGATTTTATCTAAGTGATAATTCCGCAACCCCTAGGTCTAGTCTGAAGTAATGTGAAAAACAATCTCTGCCTCGTACCTAGCATCTTAGGCCAAAAAAGGGGGTAGCCATTGTTGAAAGATTGAGAGTGGCACTGGATAAAGCACATGGTGAGTAGGTAATTTACACACTGCAGAAACAAATAGGATTGCCCACCTTATAACAGTGAATGAAACTAAACCATTCCAGAGAGTTTTTAAAGGTAGAGCGTACTTTTTTACCAGAAACTTGGAAAAACAAAATTAAGCAAACTAATAGCAATATCACTATCTTAAAGCTAGTAGAACTTGAAACTTGGGCTATACCAGAAAGTAAGTCAAACGCCACACTGTCTAGAAGGCCGGGTGTAGAGTGTATGGCGGGTGTGACGTGGAGGGGAGAGTTCTGTTGTGATAACGACAGCTCGTTCATAGACATCTTGGCGGGGGCACTGGAACAATGGAAAACTAACTGTAAGTATAAAACATCCAAACTCCCACAGCATTTCTATAAATTTTTTTAATAATTGTAATGATTACAAATTAAATAGCATCTATAAAATGTTCACAGGGTAGTCAGTTTGACAATAAAAACTGACGTTGCACACTACTGTGTAATGTACAGTGTACAGTGTACTGACGTAATGTACACTGCAAGTGTGTACATTAAAATAAAATAAATTTTGTCAGGAATAATATACAGATGTATTCTTTCATGTCATAAACCAAGGTTCAGATTAACCAAATCAATAAGTTATCATGACTTTTTACGTGTAAAACGTTTTTATAAGTCACTACTTAAAAAAAAAATAACCTGAAATAAATTTTTCAGTAAGCTAATCTTCATATATCTTCAAGTGAGTCCATTTTATGGGTTAGATGAGATGTTTATTATTTAAATGTTCGCACAAATTCACTAGGCCTAGCCTAATCTTAGATATTATTTTTTATGTGTGGTAAATTTATCGCAAATCGTAATCCAGGTCATCTTGAAACTGTTTAATGTGACAGTCTTTTTTATTATCAAAGAGAGTGGAGGCATCTTAGTTTAAACCTTGCATTTGCCGTCCACATAGGCTACGGATCTGTGTGTGGAACATATTCAGTAAAGCAAGGGGTGAGCCGGTGCAGTACAAAGGTGAACTGAACTGATAAAAAGTAGTGGCAGGTACAAGGGTCCGAATCGATGAAATTGCTGCCTTGGGCCCAAAGTCCGTGGCACTACCAACTTATAGCAAATTTGTAAAATATTCTGAATTACTGAAAAAGTGTTATTTGTTAACTTACCGAGGCGGAGGCTGTGTAACAGTTGGTAAACTCTGCCTCAATAAGCTCTCACTAAGAGCGTCCAACTCCTCAAGGCCTGTCTTCCTCTCCATCGGCTTATCTGGTATTTCTGGAACAGATCAAATAATCATTGTATTATGATCTTTAATCTCAAAAGTTCACATTCTAGGCTAAATGTTAAGATTTCAGATTTTTAAATATATTATAGTAGTCTTGATCATCCAACTACGATTATGTGAGATCCCATTTTATCTGACCTGTATTCCTGCAGATGATCGAGTACAGTGACATTGGTGCTATTACAGACTGACAACTTTTTCTATTTCTGTCTGTACTCAGAAGACACTTGCCCCGCTTTAGGCTCCTACACTGAGTATATTAGCTTGATGCGTAGCACACAGTTTATCGACTTCTCATACTCCAACTTCCTCATCCTTCACGTCTCTTATTGCTATGTCATTATTTTTGCCATTGGTCATCACCCTGACAAAAACATCTTTAGAGCAACGGACAAAATGTCCAAAATGTAGCATATCTATAAATACCCCCGCCGCAGCAAACCTGCAGACTAAGCGAATTTCCATTTGACTGATTGGATTTACACTGAAATGTCTACTTAAAAATATAACATTTTCCCCGATTTAAATAGAATTAGTCTAACAAGTACTTAGGTTTGCTGCATCAGGGAGGGTAAAACTATTTTTTTTTTGTAAAATGTTAATAGTTAGTAAGAAATAAAAACATTTTCCAAATTGATCAAAATATGTTCATAAACAAGCAAACTACAACAGTTTACTTATTCTCCATAAGAATAACATGGGAATTTTAAATTTACAATTTTTTGGAATTTTCTCCGTAACCATTAGGCGCATAATAACGCTTCAATATACTAAATTATTTGTTTTTTTAAGCTCTACAAAATGGTTTGGAAAGAAATTGCTAAATTTTATGATTTTTGGGTCAAAAATGGGAAAAACCTATTTTTACCCCATAAAACCCCCCGTAAACCCCCGTTCCCATGATCCGATCATGCTCGATCGCGAACTCGTTCGAATAAACGTAGGTTTACACGTTTGTACCAAATTTCATCAAAATCGGATCATTTTTGCTCGAGTTATCGTGCTGACGGACACATATATATATATATATATAAATATATATATATATATGAATTCGAACGGATGGTGTTTTTGGCCTCTAGGGACCTCAAAACGAAAAAAAAAAATCGGTCCCGCGTCCAGGTCTTACCATGAGTACTACGGTAATAGCTTATTCCCTATATGGGAAATTCGCTAAAATGTAATCTTTCAGGATAAATTCCAGAATTTTTTCATAATTCCTGTATTTTCAGGTTTTTCCTGAACAACCCTGCGCTATTACCTGGTTTTAGTGGTGTGTGAGTAGCGATTAACGAAGAAGACACAGGTTGAGCGACGGAGCTGAAGATGTCTCCAAGAGTGGACAGATCTCCGAGAGGTTGAGGTGGAGGAGGGGGAGCCACAGCAGACGACAACAGCTGTACACTGTCCGTACTAGTCATTGGAACATCTAAATCTGCAGGCAGAAGCCAAAACTCAATACTGTAATTTGTTGCAAAATCTATGTTACTTGCTTAAAAACAATTGTACACATAGAGCTTTTAACCAAGCAAAAATGACTAATTCATTGATTTAATGCATATTTTGACTATTTTTTGCCAGGATATGGTATCACAAGTACTTACCTCCACCATCTTTGCTAGGTATATCTACTCACTACTGTTCAATCCCAATGGTCCATCTCACCACTAAGGGTCTGCAGACCAGACTTTTAAACGTCAAGTAGTGTCAGGTAAAACATTTTGGTTATCGGAACCTCCTCCAAAGTCTTGGCAAAATCTTGAGCAACTACTAAGGTCACGGAAAAACCTTAAAAAAATTTTGGTAAAATCGTAAATTTGATTATCACACATCTTTGCAGACGCTTTCTGCAATCCCAAAAAATAAGAGCTCAACTCAAAACTAACCCCTTGCACTTCTCTAATAATCTACATATATGACCTCACGCTAGGTTTGAACCAGTCCCTCTGGCCGACGCTAGGCCTGACATAACCCGCAGATCCCTTATCACTATAGTACTGACCTAAAGTGTTGATCTGATCACAAAGCAGGTTGACAGTGTCGTGTGGCTGAGCAGGTTGTGTAGGTTGTACAGGCTGGGTAGGAGAGCTCAGGTCCAGTAGACTACCCTTGACCCCTCCTGCTGACCCTCCCTGTACTATCACGGCAGAGTGCTTGTCGATCACCTCCCCCAGCTCATCGTTGGCAGCGAGCACCTCATCTGAGAGAAACAGAGTGTTGATGAATATATAAGTAGAAACACCCTTTAATTACTTTTGGTGGTAAAAGCACTTGGCGAGAGTACATTAAGGAACACAACTAACTATAGTCTCCATTAACAAAATGTAGGCAGTAAGACGGGAAGTTCCCTTACAACTTTTTCTTCTCTTAATCTATGTTGTGTGCGGTATATAGCACAAGAAAAGGGGCTACTGTATGGAGTTAATAGGATATGAAAAGTTCGCAACACAATTAATTTGCAAGCCAAAAAACGTAAGGGTGAAAAATGTAAGATTAATAATTTGTGAACTCTTTGTGTGCTATCAACTGCCTGACTTTCTTTCTTGAGTAAGTCAGCTTATAGACGGGGTAAGTAGAGACGGTACATTCATCGCATACATTTACATTGTCTGTAAGGGTAGGATAATTTCTTTGGTAAGTATGCTGTAAGGGCAACTGGCAAGGACTTGCTGTCAACAACTTTCTGTCTCTACTTTCCCAGTTTTAAGCCACTCGAATTAGTTGTGTCCATTCCATCCCATAATTTCTTTCATCGCATTAATTGAATTAAGTGTTTCGCCGCTAAACCAGCTAGTCAGAAAATTTTTGCAAAACAATTTTACAACTTTTAACCACAAATTTTTAACCACCAAAAAGTATGAAACAATTTAAAACAATAAAGTGTATATCGGTGTATCTTCTTTATTTACATGTTTAATTACCCCAGTTTTAGTTTAGCATTTTTAAACTTCAGTGAAGATTATAGTTCTGTTTAAGCCAAAGAATGAAAACTCCTTTACCCAAGCTCAAGAAAGACTTTCAAAGTGGGGCCTCCCACAATAGGGATTCCTAGACTAAAAGACCTAATTGTGGAAAGAGAACCTCTTTCAAAGATACTAAAGCGCCTTTTATTCTCAAAACCTTGTGTATCAAGAAGGATGTAACTTCCTACAAACTACCTCCGTTGGCAATGAAGTTAGTTTGTAGAATAAAAATCCCAGTAATGTTATTAGCCATAGCCTCCTCTGATACAAGACGGTGGAATTGGTGTGTGGCAATGTCGGATTGGCATGTCAATTGCCATGGTAACAATAGAAATAACAAAAATCTCAAAAATGCAAACATAAACATTGCCTATGCCATCCTTTATAAATTGGTAAAACAGCTATTTCAGTTTGAAGGGACAGCAGTGTTGCTACTTTTGTCTCGCCGTCGCCTTGTATTAGAGGAGGCTATGAATTAGTGTATATGTAGATAAATAAACTAACAGATTAATCTGGAAAAACATATAGTACATTCCGAGAAGCACCAAACACAACCAAAATCAAATACCTTTGAACAAAGGCAAATTCTAATCTGCACAAATAAGAAAGTAAACAATACTCACTGAATAGCCTTTCATCATTGTGGACTTCAGACAACAGCTTCTGCACATTTGGTCGGTACCTGAAAATTTTAAATGAATAAATATAGACTTACAGAGACATTAATTAATATTTTTCAAAGAGGTTTTAGTTAATTTTAGTGCCTGTGTAGTAATAATTAATCTTGCATACATCTTACCTACAAATTTACAATCTACAAACATCTGAACAAGTTATTAATCACTAGCTCATTAACAGTTTCTTTACACTACCAATGGTTCATCTTGCACAAGCCTGGCACTGATAAGGAAATACAACCTTCCTTTCTGACTGTCACAGGTTCATGAAAAACACAAACTAATATCAATGTTCAACATATAGCTTATGTTTTTTATTACAAGTCCACTTCATCAGTTGGATTTCAATCTATTTTTCTGTGTTTTGTTTTATTCAACATCATTGATATGTAAAAAAGGGTTTTTTTTAGATTTATTTAGAGCTGGTCAAACTCTGGTCTAGTAACTATTTAGGTCAACATTATATTAAAGTTAAATTTTTATTTACAGTGGAGTCCCGATAACCTGACCTTCGGTAATCCGAAAGTCCGCTTAATCCGAAACAAAAAAATATATTTTTTATAAAAAAATTAAGGTTTTTTAATTTTTAAAATGTTTTTATTTTTTAAAAAATTTTTGAAAATTTTTTTTAATTTTTTTTATTAAACTTTTAACACAGTTAGCTGTACCTCGTCAAAGTATTCTGTAGCGGCCGGGCGAGATAGACATTTTTGTAGAGTATTTTAGTAAATATTTCACAATTTTTGTTATTAACATTTTTCATTTTCGTTGTGGGAGTAACCCACATCACCGCCAATAATTATATATATTGAGGTAAGAGTCAACCCCATCGGCTGATCCAAAGGCAGGCAGACAGCTCTAGTCGGACCGAGACTAGCGCTCCAACCGGAAAAGACCAACCGCCGGCAAGCAGGTTTGTCTGAGATCCGTCGCCGAAGAAGAAGGAGGTCCTGATCCTTGGTCAACAGTTGGTAAAGTACCGATAATGTCTAATTAATTGTAATCTTTTGGGGGATAAAGGGGGTAAGGGGTATCTTTTCTAAATTAGGGCAGGTTCAACCAACAATAAATTAACTGATGTAACTAAATTAACTTTACAATTATCGATATCATGTTTAGGGCAAGTTGCTGCAGGCGAGTTTCAATGGCGAGGGGTAGTTAAAATTAAATAAAAATGTAGTTAATGAATTTATTCACGACTTATCAAAGCTGGCTTACGCTGGGCAGGGTTTACGTGAGTGCTATTGGGTAGTGGAATCAGCACGATATTTATTAAATGTGGATCTAGCTGGGTTAATTCCAGTCAAGACCCCACAGTTGGTAGCAGAGCAAAGCGTTACGTAACATCATCATGGCCTGCATAGTAACTATCGCGGGATCCTGTTCGGCTGGCCAGGCTTTGAGTAAGTCTTAAGTTCCATAATTTTCACTTTTAAAACGATTTTTTATTTTCGGGGAAGGTAATTTAAGGTGTTCAGTAATGGTTTAGAACATGAATTCCATTGTGTAATCATGCAAGGTCAGATCACGTGATCGAGTTTGGAATTTCCGGCGTGACCTCGTGTGAACAAGTTGACTCATCAAGATATTAAATTTAACTTCTGGGAATTTATTTATTTATTAAGTTGAGGTTCCAAATGTCAAGGCGTGTTTACAATAAATTTTCATTTCAATATCCGATTTTAAGTGACGAATATGCGTGTAATTAGTACGACGTGGGACTACTTAACCCATGTGAGTGCCTAGGCTATGTGAAGCATCCTGTTGAGCTGCGAAACACATTTCAATAGTAATAGTAAGTAACGTGCCTTTTATTTATTTTACAGATAATTATAATTCCCAATATTTTTTCCCCAAGGTTAGTTAGGCCTATTTTCAGTATATTCAGCATAAGTAGGTAAGTTTGTTAGGTTAAAGCTGCAGTGTGTTCAGATTAAATTGATTTAAGTATTCAAATGCAATGGCCCTTGACTTTTACATACAGAAGAGGTATATTTATCACCATGCACAGTAATTTTGTGTAGGCTAACTCCTTTTGGGTACAATAATTTTTTGTGGTGGTTTCAAGCAATTTAGCCCTAGGTAGGCCTAGGCCTAGTTAGTCTTAAGTAGTTAATCTTAAGTAATTCCTACCAGAGAATCAGGTCATTGTTCTTTATTCTTGATCTTAGCAGCCTAGTTTATTTTTAATAGTGAAATTTACACCCCTTTTTTTTTTTTTTTACACAATTTGCTAGATTTAGTACGGTGATTGCTAGAACAGTTTAGGTTGAATTAGGCAATGGGTGGGTTGACCGCAAGATGTAATAAGTTTTACTGACTTGATTCAGTACCTGAGTAAAGCATGCGATACACAAAAGGTAGTAACTTTTTACTATCATTACTCGGGACAATCACCCCCCCCCCCCTCAATTCACACAAACATTGATATAGATTAATTGTTACTGGCGGTCCTCTTTCATGATCTAGCGCTTTGTTTTTTACAGTTAGGCCTACTGGATTATTAAGCCTGCAATAAATTTTCATAAATTAGTTTGCATTGTTTATAAATTAGTTACAGTTGCATTATTCTTAGTTACAGCCACAGTAGCCTAAGTAAATTTTTTCCCGCAGTTAGTAGTTGTACCAAATTTTTTTTTTTGCGATGCGTTGGAGCGTACTTGTTGATGAGTAATACAGTAGGCTAATTATATTTAACTTATAAGTTTATTGTTTAACTCTGTTATCGGTTAGGCCTATTATTTAATGTGCTATATGCATAAGTTAGGCTTTTCCCACATGGTTGAAAATTCCCACGACTAATTATTTTGCATTTTTCACCTCATTAGTAGGCCTATAATATTAATTCCCCTCCCCGCACATCAGCACATCATAACCCCCCCCCACCCCCTTCGAATTATTACCATCCAAGGATCAAACAAAATCAGAATTACAAATGTATGCAATTAGTTTAATGGGTGACTCCCAATTCTGTAGATATGCCAACTTTCTGCAGGAGCACAGATCATTAATAGCTTTAGAAAAATCATTTTGTTTTTCCGGCGCGACGATAGCTGATTACAAAAAACATTATAAGTCAACGCATTCGTCGATACCGCCGAATTCAATTATCCTTATTTGCTTAGGAACAAATGACATAATTCGAAATACGCCATTGATGCATATGAAGAATCAATTTTTGTCTTTATTGAAATTAGTTAAGAAACGCCACACACCCAAACTGTTATTAATCCTAGCCTTGCCTAACTTTCCACGCCTTGCACAGAACAACAACGCACTCGCTCACATTGATGACTTCAACAAATACTTAGCCACTTTACAGTCTCACTCCACACACTTACTACGTTTGGATATTCCAACTCACAGCGCTCATCGATACTTTGAAGCAAAATATTACCCTTCGGGAAGAAAAGATGGAATCCATTTCAATGCCAGAACTTTTTCGCGCCTCGTGGAAATACTAGGGAATCATTTGAACAACATTTCACTTTAAATTAACAAAGTAAATAATTTTTTTTTAAATTAATTGCAGCGAATTTACAAAAGCGTTTGAGCCGACCATTGTCGCAAGCCACAAGCATCGATGCATTTCTTAGTGTAGGCCTAGGTATATTTATGACGATTTTGATGAATGTTAAAAAAAAATATATTCATGGAAATCGTCAATTTAATTTCATTTGAAACGAAAGTCTGCTTTCTACGAATTCAAGATAGGTCACCTTACCACCTTATCCAGTCTGGAACCAAGTAGGGACTCTGTCAATATTTAGTTGGGTTACTCAACCCGAAATAGAACTAGGGCGAGTAGTCAACATGTCTCTCAGATGCACTGTCACATTTCAGGTGATGTGATGACATCACATAGATGATTGATGGTTTTGAGGTCCAAGTCTTTAGAACAAAAAACAATAACTTAATTCGAGTTGAATGGTATCCCCTTTTGTTAAAAAAAAATGTATGTATATATGTATATTATATGTTATAAATATATGTATATATATATGTAAAAAAAAAAAAAAAAAAATCATCATGAGCAAGTACCTTTATACCTATCACACCTTGTTACCTCACCTGGAAAATATTTAATTAAGCGGCTTCCAAACTCCAATCCAGCTTAAGACGGGTACAACCCCCCCTTGTCGGCCCATTAGCATGGCACCCGTGGGTGGTGATGGGATGGATAAAAAAAAAAAAAAAACCCCATCGTATCACTCATCCGCGGGACTAGTGCATACCCCTGGTATTTAAAAAAAAAAAGTAGAAATGCCAGCAAGGTGACACTGGTAGCCCGCGATGCGTCGTCGGGGAACATGGAATGGAATGTGACTAGTCAATAAATTCAAAGCCGCCAAGGTATCAACGTCCCTTGTCTTCACCCTCCTTACTACTTGCTCAACCAAAAAAATAAATAAATAAATAAATAAAAAAAAAAAAAAAAAAAAAGTTCCCCTACCATCAACTCGGAGGCCTCTCCCCAAATCAATAAATTGTTTGTTCTTTTTTTGTTGCTGCCCCCTTTGAACACCAAGATATAGGATTGAATTGCGTTTGTGAAACCCAAAAAAGGTTTCAACCGGGGTTCGCTTCTCCTCCATTCACCATAAGGTATCCGGGAAACCGAACGCCTTGGAGGCTCACCGTTGACTTATTGTCGCTGTATAGGGACAGTGCATTATGAGACAAGAGTTTGCTGGTTATTCCAAACTTTTTATGTATGGTGTCCAATAGAATAGGGTGGTTCCATGACAAAACAATCCTGCAATCCCATATTAACTCTCCACTTGTAATTACCTCCTAACATAAAAAATCAAACGATAAGCAGATTTTCAGGGAAAGTAATTGGGTATGGGAAAATAGGGATTGTGGCCCGACAATGCGTCCGGTGCAATACGCTCAAATAATAAATTTTTTTGTTTATAGATTAAACAATTTTATAATTTTGTATAGGTACATAAAACACACACATAATAATTTTTTTTTTAGAACCAATCATACAGTTTTAGGA